AAAAAGTATTTGTTAGATTTTAGAAAATATGTAATAAATATAAAGTAATACATTTTAAATTTGTAAAATGAGCTGTAAAATTATAAATTTCTAGAAAAAAAATTACTTCCTTACAAGAAGAAAATTAGTTTTTTATGTAAAAACTATGTTTAAATAAATATTTGCTAAATTTAAGTAAATCATTTTATAAATCTAAATAAATTATTTTCTGATATTAAAAGTATCTTTTTCGTCTTTCAAATTAAAGTTTCTTTTATTATCAGAAAACAATTTATTTAAATTTACAAAATAATTTACTTGTATTTTATTTACTTTTGAAACAACTAAATATTTTTTAAATATACTTTTTACATACTTTTCAAATATACATTTTGCATTTAAAACATTTCTACTCTCTTCTTTAGTGAGTTTACCAAACTTGAGCTTAGTAAATTTTGCTCTGATTGGCCAATTTTCAATTCAATCTCAATCTTAATCTGTGGTCTGATACGGGCTTTAGGAAAGGAAGCGTAGAGTCAGTTAAGCCAGCGGCACACGGTGTTTATTTTCGTGCTAGATTGCTTGTTGGATGTAAATACTCTGTTTTGGTGTATTTCCATCCATCTTCAGAAATATACCAATCAAAATAGAGTATTTACATCTAGCAAGCAATTCAGCACGAAAACAAGCACCGTGTGCCGCTGGCTTTATTGAAGTTGAAGTTGAAAGAACAGAGCTCCTATTATTGAAATTTTTGCGTGTACGTAATTTTCATTGCGCAGCTATTTTATGGTATGATTAAACCTGCGCAGTAAAATTTACGTGTACGCAACTATTTCAAGAATAAGGGCCCAGTACTGGGATTCTGTAACTCATTATTGGAATTAACGACAGTTTCGTTATCGTTGTTTTTCTACGTTGCTTTTCTACGGTATACAAAAGCTGCGCAACGATAACGAAACTATCGTTAACTCCAATAACGAGTTACAGAATAGGGTTACTGGCCTAAAGAACGGACTATTCGTATATCATACATCCCTTTCACTGCTATCATCTGCGTCTGACGTGTGCGTCTACAACTAGGGCTGCGTTCGGAAACGTCACTCGAGTACTCTCCCTCTCTTTTTATCTCACTCTTGTATTTCGCTCACTCCGCCTATCGTCTAGTAGTATGCACACAGTGTGCGTTTCCGAACGCAGCATAGAGCACAGATCACTCTAATCGTACGTCTGAGATCGGGGCATATATTACTAGACAACACCTACATAAAGTGAATATCAAACCACATGCAAACTGTGAATGTGAAACTGGATATCAGGATTTAGAACACATCATATTTAAATGTCTTCTTCATCAAACCAGATAAACAAACTTATATACAACTTTTATAACATTAACATACAAAACCTTCAAAACAATACAAAAGATTTAGAGGCTGCAATTTTCTCCAATAACTTTACCTTTACCAATTCCTTTCTATCTTTCCTAAAAGAAACAAATCACAATCTATAAATCCCTTCCTAATAGTTTTCCTTCATATTGTGTTGAAAAAGCCACTGAGTACAGGCCTGGAACCATATATAGAGGAAGAGAGAGAGAGAAAGAAGTGTGCGTCAGAAGGCTGTCAATACGTAGTCACAAATTATACGTTGTAATTGCGCATAAGAAGCGTTACGAAATTTGACAAGTTAAAAGTGAACTAGTGTGAACTTGGTATCTCTGCTAAAACTTTTCAACGACAGTTCAACGACAATTCAAACATGGTCTACGTGACGGACGGTAATATACTCTAACCTGACTTATTGCGTGCGTATCACGACCAGAAAATATATCCTTGCGTCATATGTACACGATGATCTGCTTGTAGATGGTAGCGTAGTGAACTCTATTCCGTGGAGTTTAAGAAGAATCTTCGGGCTCTTCACAGGAGTGATCTATATGTTCATTATGTTGTGAGTTAAATAAATGTCAAACGTAATAACACATAATTAAATTGGAAGTTTCGCATTCGCTAATGAGCTTTGTGTTCTCTTTTCTTTTTGCACGCAATACAATGGATGAGAATAGCTTTCAGACATTGATTAATCCTGATATGAACCGAGCAGGCAATCATTCCACGAGAGATTTCCGTCCAGGTTCCGGGTAATGTATCCTTTCAAAGTAACATTTATGGTTCCTAGGTGCTCGCATTGTTCATCTCTTTTTGATGACGTCAGAAGACTTATACTAAACATTTTTGCAAAATACGTCGAGATAAAAAGATATATCCACAAAATGACACTCGCACGATCGGTTAAGCACACTTCTAAAATATTCCTTTTGTTTTAACAATCAATAGATAATCGTAAAATTAATGACATAATAACAAGGAAATTAGGTTAAAAAATAAAGTTGTGTATTACGTTAATCTGGTTATTAATGGTTATTTATTAATTGTTGGAGCAAAAGGAAAGTGTTTGGAATATTTTAAAGATGCGCTTAATCAATTGCAAGTTCATTTTATAAATATATCTTTTTATCTCGACGTATTTCGCAAGAATTTTTAGCATGTGTTCCCTCACTTTTGACGTCATTAAAAAGAGATAGACGATGCGAATTAGCCAGGAGCTTTAAATCAAGTGATAAACATATAAAATGTTAATTTCTACAAATAATTATCGCACAGGCCACGTCCTTCAAACCGCAGACTTGGTAGACCTAATACAGGGAACAATGTCGACATTCCATTTTTTGGAGGTTGCAGCAGTTGTGCAAGATAAATGGGTTCAGAATAATCAATAAATAATAATACTATTTTAGAACTTAGTTTGCAATTATATTTGTATCACTTTATGCAATATTTTTGTTAGACAATTTTAAGACCTATTTAATGATAAAATAATTTTTTATTGAAATCTCTGAAAATTATAATTATTATATATCTCTCATATCTTCTCAAGGAATAACTTTTTTGTAAATTACACAAAATATTACTTATATGTTTTATGTAGGATGTTAAAATTATTTTTCTCCGTAATGTTCAACAACATATTAGTACTTTCTATCATTAATAATCATTCATGAAAATAACATAATCATATCCTTTATTGAACACATACTGAGTTAACATATTTAATAAGATATAAACAATTATAAATATAAAACAATCGTTGGATATGTATATTGATTAAGAAAACGAAGTCTTTGACGAGTGAAGAGTCTTCTGTATTTTTGTAAGTGAAATAAAGTGGCACAATCTAACGAGTATTTCTTTGTTTTGTGTTGTCCCTATGTATGTGATGCACAAATACAATAGTATTCTATACCTGTTAGATCTAAACAAATCTCTGTGTCGGATGCGAGAGAATCGCACTGCAGATTCGAGACATATATATATATATATATATGTTCGTACACGTGTGATCAGCTCCAGCAGAATTACAAGATCTTCGTGATTAAACCGGCCGCGATAGTGGTGCCTTCTAATCGCAGCATAACTCTGCCGAGCTGCTTGATGTCCTTATACAGCTCCATGCAGACCGGATTCTGCGTCACGACCTCGATGATCGCGCTCGAGTTCTTCGGCAGACAGCGCGGCTTCTTCTTGATCACGTCGCCGTTGCTTCTGTGAAGCTGCGCTATGAGTTTCGTGATGACCGCCGGCTGTACCAAAGACTGCTGATGCATCACCACCGAAAGCCCCTTGGTGATCGGTTTCGCTATCGCGAACACCACCACGTGCGCTTGGAAGCACGTCGTCACCGGCACAGGGTTCTGCGGGTTGCAGATGACGTCGCCGATGCTGACGTTCTGCTGCTCGATGCCCGCCAGAGTCAGGGCAACGTGGTCGCCGGCGAACACGTTCGCCGTCGAAACCTCGTCCGACTGCATACCTGCAGGCCATTTCGAAAACGCCATTTCAATCATTTTTCTCGAAAACGTCGCGAGAGTTCCTAGCTTCTCGCCGCGGAAACTCAATTCATGATATGAGAGATGAGAAAATACACGATAAAAATTCTTGCAAAATATTCTTGAAATAAAAAATATACATAAAATAGCAATCGATCGGGCGAACGCTTTTCTCTTGCTCTAACAATCAATAAATCATCGTAAAATTAACGTGACATGCAATCTACCTTTTTAATTCACTTTTCCCCATGATTTTGTTGCGTCAACTTTACGATTATTTATTGATTGTTAGAACAAAAAGAAAGTGTTCGGACTACTTTACACATCTGCTCTATCGATTGTTATTTTGTAAATACATTTTTTTATTTCTATGTAATTTGTAAAAATTTTTAGTGTATATTTTCTTGCTTTTCTGAAGTCATAAATTAAGATGACTGCGGCGGGAAGCCAGAAGCCTTAACGTCCTATACAGACCTTTAACGATGGCGATCTCGTTTCGAGGTAGTATTAAAACTTTGTCACCTAAGGACACCATGCCTGTTTCAACGTGACCGGACACACAGAACCCGGATCCAGTACCCTTGAATATATCGTTGACAGAGAAACGGAATGGCTTATTTACAGGCCGCTCCGGGCACTTAAAATTATCAATCACACTGACTAGAGTAGGTCCGGTATACCTGCGAAGTCACTTTGTGAGAGACGATTCCAAAGCACGCTCATAATAGATTATTATTATAGAGATAACCCAGTTACCAATTAGACAGTTGCTCTTTCGGTTTCGTTACTATATTCTCGCCGGATAAACCGCTGCAAGGTACAAAAGTAACGGTATCTTTGAAGCCAGCTTGCTTCAAGAACACGCTCATCTTGTCGACAATCTCGTTGAATCTGTCCTTGGACCAGTTCACAGTGTCCAGCTTGTTCACGACTACCGCCAGTTGGGACACACCTGTAGACAATTGGGACAGATCCAACAAAAATACGATTTAATATCCTGATCACAATTTAATAATAAATTATAGTAACACGGGATGGATTACCTAAGGAGCGCAGTAACAATGCGTGCTCACGCGTTTGCCCCCCGCTGTCGAATCCAGTCTCGAACTCGCCTCTGGTCGCGTCAACCACCAACAGAGCTACGTCCGCTTGCGTAGCGCCAGTTATCATGTTCGGGATGAAATCTTTATGGCCGGGTGCGTCCAGAAGAGTAATGGACTTTGTGTCAGTCTCAAACTTCGAATGGCCTATATCCATTGTGATTCCACGTTCCCTGTATAAAACATGTTTAGTAAGCTTTATGGGAAATTTAAGACTGTCGTACAAGTGTAATTCTTCTTGAACTATTTGTCCAGAGGAAATTTTTTCTCGTTTACTTGATGTAATAATATAATTATAATATAAAATATATAATATGTAATTTCCCTCTGCCGATTACTTCATGAAATGATGCATTTATGCAATTACCTTTCCTCGCCGGTCTCGTCGAGCACCCAAGCATACGCGAACGATTGCTTTCCTAACTTCTTGCTCTCCTGCTGGTACTTGTGAATGAGTCTCGACGGTACTTGACCCAAATCGCAGAGCAGCCGACCGAGCAAAGTGCTTTTCCCGGCGTCCACGTGTCCCACGACCACCAAGTGAAGCTGCTCCTTGCTGTCGCCCCGCTTGCTCTTGTATATCGCCTGAACGTCTATTACTTTTTCTTCGTTCGACTTCACCTTGGTGTCCAGTTCCGGCGTTACATGGCCCGACGCGGGGGACTGACATCGCGGACTGTTCGTCTTCGAGGAAAGCGCCTTCTTCTCCTTCTGTATGATGTCCTCTTTGCTCTTGGTCTCCGGGCTATTCCGATCGGAGGACGGGCTTTGACAACGCGGGCTCAACAGATCCGTGCTCTCCACGCCGCTCAAGTCGAAACCCTTCACCACAGGCCTCGTCCCGGCTGGCACGACCTTTACTGTAGACGGGGTTGTTGTGACTTGCAGGGCAGGCTTAGATGACAATTTGTTACCTGTCGTGAAATGCATTCTCAGCCGTGTTAGTCATGCACAAAAGGAAATATGAAAATAATAATCTTTTGGTACATGATTATATTGTTAGTATAAGCACAGGAATAACGTATAAACATAACAGAATTTACATTCTACATTTTTATATGTACTTGGATGTAATTGTATCATGCATGATTTACATTATCTGCAATTGTATGTATATATATATTTATATAAATATGCGTGTAATAACTGTATATATATCACTTCTCTTTGTAAATTTATGTTTAAAATAACATATAATTAGAATCAAAAATAGTTAGTAAGTACCACAATTCATTATGCTTTGTGTAATAATTCACACATTTTCTCAAAGCTCAAAACATTGTACAAATGTAACGCATTCGTTATACGACGTATAACAATTCTCCAAATTCGAAGCTCAGGGATAAAATAAAAGGACGTATATAACCGTTAGAAAGATAAAAGTACATAATGTAAAATATGCGATAAAATATGCAAATATTAAATCGCTCTAAAATCAACGTTATTAATTTGCGTTACGCCACCTTTACTTCATCGTTAATTACTGAGACCGACTCGTATTTCGATACGGCACAGAGAAGTCAAAAGGTTTAATTGTGCCGCGGTATTGTACGAGGACTCTGAGAGTCGGTTTTTTCGTCTTCCATATTCTGCACAGAGTTCTTCCAAACACGGAAACGCGCTTTTTCGTATACCGAAGCTTGACGTGCCTCAAGGCACTCAAATTTAAAGTGATCGGCAGCATATTCGGCATTATATCAGCTGTATTCATCATGTATATATCCAAATTGGGCGCGTCGCGATAAAATTTTCCCGACGCGATCGAATTGTTAAAAGTGCCGTCAGCAAGGAGTTTCGCCTCCTTTAGAGCGATAGTCAAATCGATCACGCAACCGTCGGGCGAGGGGCTGCGTATGTCGTTCATAACAGACATTGGACCTTGCAATTGTTCCTCCAATTTCACGTCCATCACGATATTACGTTTCGACAAAATACTCATGTTCGAGAAATCTTTCTGAAGTAAATTCATCGAATATTTGTTCAAATTACTGTTAGATATCAACTGTCTTTCACTACTCTCATCGTTGGAAGATTTCAATGGCGACTTATTTCCCGTCGTCTCACTGTCATTCTTAATTGACAATTTTGGAATAACAAATTGCAAACTCGATGACTGCTGCTTCTCGCGAAGTTTCTTGTCATTGGTTAAGTTAGATTTTTGCAAGTGATGGGCAGTCAAGGCAGCCAAAGAGCTGAAGGACTGCGTGTCCGCGTTATGCCGCGAAGGTATCGTCGTGGTATTCAAATTTACAGACTGCGTATGATTGTTGAAAGTGAGTCCAGCTAATGATGAAAAAGTTGCGGGAGCGCGTTTGAAATTTTTGAAATCGTCTACGTTATTCAAAGATGTAGTGGGAGTAGAATCTTCAGGTGAGTTATGTTCCTTCTTGAAGGAAAGCTTGGGTATCGTGAACATAAATGTGTTAGGTTTATCAACTGAAACACCTTACCTTACCGATGAAGTCCAATACAGCACATGAAACATAAAAAGGAATAAGTATATGAGGTCATTAAAATTGTTCCAGTGAATCTGATCATAAAAGTTATAACACACACACTTAGCAATAAATTATATATCTTAAGGCAGAAGAATTATAATTTTATGCAACATATACCTGGATGATGTCCTAATCGTTCCTTATTTACTGTTGGATCTGCAAATATATATGGAAACAAATATTTCAAGATTTCTTCTGTTAATCTGTCAAATAGTCATGTCTGCACTGAATAATTATCTCTGTAGATATATTAAAAAAAGATGTAATGTATTACCGATGATATTTTTTGGTGAAGACTCATGTAGGATAGCATTGAGTGCCACTTCAGTGTCATAGTTTGATGCAATAATGTGTTCCCGTAGCTTAGATTCTGTCACAGAATCACCTATGACATTCCTGATGGACTCTATGCAAGATGTCAACTTTGCCTTTTCCAACTCAGAAAGACTGCACTTTTCTTCTTCAGGTGAAGCCGAAACCTCAATATCCTCATTGTCTTCAACTATATCTGGCTCTGTGATGAATGAAGCAATATTCTGTTGCTTGCTTCGATCGAACAAGAACTGCTGTGCTGTATGTCAAAATAGCAATTAGCATTGAGTCATGCCTTACTGAGAACATGATTATGAAGTCATCTCAAAGAACTTACCACTGGGTGATACACAGTAATCATCCTCCATTGAATGTCCATAAACGTCATCATAGCCATCGTACTCTACACAAAGTATATTTGCATAATTTTGCGAAATATCAAGAGCTATATAACAAAGGACATACAGTGCCTATTGTATTGATAGTCATATTATATTGACAAACATTATCAATATTGAAAAATATTGTCTATAGCTACCGCGATAATAAGCTCACTTACTAAAAACGAAAAGAAATGTTAACGTTGTACTGATCTTCAGACGTTACAAATTTGGTAATTGAAGATTTATGTGTTACGTATGAGCTGCGGTTTTGCTTACCATCGGAATAGTTCATACAACGGACGTCCCGATGCCGTGACATATTTCACGTGTAACTTTGTGACGAGAGAAGAAGTAATGCGAGAAGGCTCTTCTCGAGCGTAGATTATTTACAAATTTTCATATCACACGGAGTATACACAATTGAATTACAAATTGTGGACAGTCACAGCTGGAACCAAAGACAGTACTGTTGTCTACGCATCGACCAACAAATCGATATTGGATTCCTTTCTTGTTGAAAAATCGATTATCATCTCAATGCAAATTCGATTATTCCTCTGATATCGATAATTGTTAAAAATTTTCGTTCACCCAGTCATCCAGTCGTACTACTCGAAAATAAAGAGTTTCCCCGACCTATACGTCATGGGATCCGTTTTCTATTGCTAAACTGGCTGCATTAGTTCTCTCCATTGAATAAAGAATACCAGGAAGGAGGATAAAGAGAAAATCCTTTGTTAGAAGTACGAAGGATGTGACGTATTCTCTCTCTCTCTCTCTCTCTCTCTCTCTCTCTCTCTCTCTCTCTC